CACAGTGGTCTCCCTCGGGCTTAAGGCTTCTCGGATTGTGTACACCGCCACCGCTACCTCCGCTACCTACCTCTTACTTTCTCTTTTTGTAGCGGTCCTGCATCGTGTATTTAAAGTAAATAACTAGCGTACTTAAAAATACATATATATATATATATTATTTTTATTATTATTACGAAAAAAAAAATGTTCTCGAAATGTAATTTTCCGTTTGACATAATTCAACGAAACGTAATAACTTGTTTATAGCATAATATCTTTGTTATTATATTATAACCTGCAAATATGATAATGCAATAACTTATATAAATAATAATTTTTATAAGAAAAGTCAAAAATAAAATTAGTTTTTTTTTTTTTGAAGCAACTATACAATATGCGAGTGTCTTGATCGTAAACATATATATTTAAAATTATCGTTTAAGGTTTTTTGATTTATGTAAAACACACACTTCAATCAAAAATGATGAGTTGCCTGATCTAGACCTGCTTGTTGACGACTAAGTTCGTCTCAGTCATCCTGAATGAATACAATATGACTGTATACTCGTATTATAGTGTATGGTTATATGTTATACATTTATAATTGCAAATGACAATATAACTTGTATTATAAAAATTATTACAACCGATTATTCAAGTGTAAGTACATAATAGTAAGAGGAAGTTTTACTGATATTTAAAAAAAAAAAATTTTTACTGAAAATGCTAGGTTAATTATTGTATAATATTTGAACAGGTGGTTTGATGTGATCAACGTTCTTGCATTTTTACTGCATAATTATGAAATTATAAAAACAGTTCATTAAAACATATAAACGCATATCGACTATGTTATTATACTGTGAGAATATTCATAGCGTAATTTCAGAACTATAAAATATTTATTTTCAAACTGAAAGAGAAAAAATAACAGAACTGTTTATATTTGGTTTTCAATTTATAAGTTGAAATCGGTACAAATAATATAATTAGTACTTTGTTAAGCAGCTAAACCTTTTTTAAGCAGTATTTAAAAAAATGAATCAAATTCCAAATATCTGTAAAATTTAATCATGTTATTTTTTTTTTCTAAAACCACTGTAAACGATAAATTTTAAATTAAAATTTTAGGATCCCTTGCTCGTATTATATCGAATATACTTTTATATTCGTAATTATCATAAACGCGCATACTATGTTATAAATTGACGTATACTCTATGATTTAATATTTACTTATCAATATTTGTCCATACATTCAATTTTTATGAGACAATGGTTGTTATTTTAAATATGGATTTTTATTTTTAGTACCTTAAAACGAGTTCATATAATTTATAAATATATATTATGTAAATCGTTGTTTCATCTGTGTACCTTTTAAAATGTAGCCTTTGCAACAACTATTCATCTCAGCGTTTGCGTACCAGATGTAATAGTTTACACGTACACATTAAAATTATTGTTATCATTTTTTCCCATCATCTCGTTCTCGCTAAATATACTTGCGTGAAACGAAATTTTTGGTGGCGCACACATAACATATGATACCAAAAATACAAATTTTGTCGATTTGAGCAAATTATGTCTGGTCGCTCTTTTAGTATTTCCGCCATCTCCACTAACGCTGAATAAAATATCTAGATTTTCTTTTTAAACAACAACCTTACCAAAACAACAAAACAACTGTTTTAGAGAACACATACGAATAATAATAACAATGTAGTAATAATATAAAAGAGGCCGCTTAAGTCTCCGGGGAAATATAAAAAAAACCTAATATTTACCACCAATACGCGCCATATACTCTAGTTTACTGTTATGATTCATATATTTTGAGTTATCATCATAAAATCAAATCTTGTCTGCAAAACAATGTTATATTATTTCTTATTTTCTGTCCAGTTAATAGTTATCGGTATGCACGTTATTTTTTGATTATTGTAGATACAGCACTTTACGATGGTCTCGTTTATAATTTGACTGGAAATATTATGTATTCATTTTATTTAATATCCTTGATGCGTTATTCTAGACACGAATTTCTTCGGGCCCACGTATGAAAGTCATTCCCTATGCAGTTGCGGCAAGTACGCTTGGAAAAAAAAATTATTAATAGATAAATATTACCCATGACATACGATTACATTCCTACAATGCCGTACAGATGAGAATGGCCTCAAAACAATGTTCTTAGCTCATGCACGTATATAATACGCACACCCAATTATCGATTTTAATAAGGAATAAAAACCGCTCTATTGATATAAATGCCGCCAGAATTGTTTTCCATTAGCGTTTTTCGTATGAAGTGTACTACCACTAATGTAATTATGATTTTTGAAAATAAAAAATTATTGTAACTTCTAATATAGTCAATCTTGCTAATGAGTTATATTCTGCAATGTGTTGTATTATATTATTACATTCAACCGAATACGTTCTTAGTAAATAATACCTACGAATAAATTAACTGACCTGATTATTAAATACAATTTTTTTTTTTTTTGATCTAATTGATTTATAGTACTAAATTAATCTGATTTGACTAGATCGAATTTATTAAATTGGATCAAACCAAACTGTTACTTAATTGTCTTTTATAAGACTGGCTTAAAACATATCGTAATCCTATTCAGTTTAAAATGCATTGATATAAACCAAACCAGTTAGAGTAATACTATAGATCAGAAATTCACAAACTGTGGGTCACGTTATATTTTTAAAAATTAATTAATACATTTTTTTAAATGTATTTTTTTTTATTTTTTTTTTGTAATTTCTGAATAAAAAAAGAAAATTTATTTATTATGAGTCTTCAGCAAGCAGTCAAAACAAAAATAAAAAATTTAAAAACAAATATTGTTCTAAATATTTTCAAATTGGATTATGTAGAGCAGTAATAAAAAGCTTATACAACCACAATGTGTTATAACTTATAAGTAAATGTATACGTGCAAATGAGAATATGCGACCGAACAAACTACATCAACATATAGATACGAATCATACAGAAATAAAAAATAAACCACTCAAGTCTTATAAAAGAAAACTAAAATCTCTAAAAGCATCAAAAAATAATATTCTTAGTTTACTATAATTAATCAAAAAGCTACATATAAAATAATTTTACAAATAATTACTCAAACTAATGAGCCTCACATTTTCAGAAACAAGACACAGTCGGGTCATGTTTGATGAAAAAATTTAAAAGAAATTAAAACGTTATCGCTTTAAAATTACATCATTTCGAAAATGACAAAGTTTCTCAATAGGTAGAAGATAAATTGATCGAACGAGTTAATTTGTTTAAATGATTCTCATTACAACTAGACGAGTAACAGATTTTCAAGTCTTATCTAAGCTGGTTGTTTTCATACGTTACATAGAATGAATGAATCTTGCGAGGATTTTCTGTGCTGTGAACCGATTATTCGAGGTGAAAGTGATGAAATGTTTAATACCCTTAATACTTATATAAGAACGCAAAGGATTAAATAGACAAAATGTGTTAGGTAATATGCGAACGGTGCCCGAGGAACGTGTGGTATGAACAGAAATGTTATCACTAAAATTAGTGAAATTAATCCTAATGTGCCATGGATGCAATGCAATATACATAGAGATGTATTAGTTTTGAAGTCTTTGTCAGATGATTTTAGAAGTGTATTAAATACATCTGTCAAAATAGTAAATTTCATAAAAGCAAGGCTGTTATAATCCCGTTTATTTGACAAGCTTTGCGAAAAAATGAGTAAAATTCACTAATCAGTTCTTCTTCATGTTGAGGTACATTGGCTATCGAGACTAATGCACTTACAAGTCTTGTCAAATTTGGTGACGAAGTCACGTATTATTTGGACAAAAAAAATGATTACGTAAAATTCTTAAGTTATAAGAAGTTTATTTTAGAACTTACGTACTTAGCAGATTTAATTTCAAAATTAAACGAGCTTAATTTATGTTTGCAAGGCAGAGGTCGAGATATATTGCAGTTCACAATAACATTCAAGCATTTATCAAAAAACTTTTGCTGAGGAAAAATAATATTTGAAAAAAAAAATTTGACCGTTTTGAATTATTTTAAAATTTCATGATTAAATATCAAATAGACGTTAATAATAGCATTATGAGTTATGACTATGTATATTTAAGTACACTGAAAAATAATTTTGATTTATATTTTCAAAGTGAGGAAGAAAACTATAAATTATCTAATGAAATAGATTTAAAATCCTTTTCAAAAACATGGAACGAAAAAATGTGTCATTAATAATAACTTAAGAAGAATCAATCGAACTATTTGAAGACAGTATATTTAAAATAAATTACAATTAAAAAAAAAAACCAACAAGTTTCTGGTTGTTTGTTAAAGAAAGTTATTTAACTATTTCCAATAAAGCTCTTAAGATTAAAATTTAAATACCTACCTATATTTTATAAATATACTTTTTTTTACTAATTAAATAAATAATAATAAAAATTCAAAAATAAAATTTACTGTTTTTTAATATGTATTTGATTAAATTTTTTTCGTAAGTAACTCCTTTAATAAACAGCAAAAAAAAAGATCATTAAATTTATTATAGATCGTCAAAATTTAAAAAAATGTCCAGAATGAGTTTCACCATAAAATATTTGGGAATCTCTATACTAAAAAATATAAAGGTACCCAAAAAAATAATAATAATAATAATGTTTAAGAATTAGATTGTCTCATTTATAATCGTAAAGATAAAAAAAAAATCGGTACTTTTTGCGAACTCAGTCAAAAACTAGCCAATAATACTTACTTAAAAATTATATGGTTGAAATGTCAATAACTTATTGTACGTCAGATCTGTCTAATATTCATCTTAAGCTATGTAGGCATGTATGGATATGACAATTTTATTAACAAAATGAGAACAGTCGTTATTCGTCTGACAATAAATTTATGATATTGAATATTACAAACATCATATTATTGCGTATGTCATAGTAAAATCAATCGCAATTTACATTCGAAGTTTTTTACAGGAATTGAGCGACAAGACTTGCAGTGCTTCGTGCAGCAAATAGACAATGAAGTTAGAGACCTAAAAGTGACTAATAGGAGTAAAAACGCCAACACGCAGCCACAACGTTTCAACTCAAGTTTGTACGTGATCGATCAGTTGGACACAATAGGTGAGATAATGCCTTTTCTTGTTTTTCACGATTCAAAGTGTACCTAATTTGAAATATTTAATTATGCTCTATCAATATTTTATGTATATTTATCATATTTCTTGACAATAACTCCTATTTTATTTGTATTTTCACCCCATGGAGTCAGACAATAATTTTAAAATCTTATCAAAGGCTCTAGAGTTAGCTATAATAGGATAGTCTAAGATAATATGCTCAAGTGTTTTTCGTAAACATCCTCTTTATTTTACTTATTATGTAGTACTGATATCTCTTTTCAATTCGAATATCACTGAATACTACTGATAATGATAGATAACTATTGACTAAACAGACTTAAATTATGCGTTATTTGTGATTTTCAGATGACAACGATATCAAAATTGAAAAATTGGAAAAACAGTACTCGCCGAAACGGAAAAATGATGCAAAAGCAATAGAAGGGTAGGTATGGCGAGTAATCGTCGATGATAACTTTCGTATTAATATAAGTACTAATATGACTAAATAATTTATTGACTTTTCTAGATTGAATGCTAACCCTTTGCCAATACCGTATCACCGACCCATCGGCCAAGACAGTCGGTTGAGCAATGGAAATATGATGATGATGCCACCGAGTAGTCCGCGTAAGACGGCTGGAAACAAATATGCTACGGTCAAACAACAACCCTTTAAAAACGCGTGCAAAACAGAAGTAACGAGTGAGTAGATTAATTATAATACAAATTTTATCATATTATTCTTATAATAATATTAATATCGATGGTCTGATAATAATTTTGGTTAGTGATGTGTTTAGGATTTTGTCTTGAGCGTATGTTTCTATATATTTAACCAGAGCTTACTAAATCAAGGTTGGCCACACCCGCCATACCCTCTCACACCACTCAATTTAAATCAAAACAATTATAACTTAATAACATTATATAAACACACAATATTCTTTCAAAACTATGTATAACCTGTTACTTAAGGGATTACATATTATTTTTCTAAAAAAAAATATATAACATACGTATTATCATAAAAATAAGTGGCATTTTAACATTATTACTTAATTATTTAATTTATGCAGTCATTATTGTCATAAACATTAATTACATAAAATAAAGTTCTATATTATTTTAGACTTACGATATTGGTAATATAGTATATAATACTTAATCATTGTCGTACATATAATTGTATAGTATATATTGGGCATTGACGTATACATTTAGACTATTCCGTATTTATATTGTTTGAATCAACATTGATCATTTGAAAATTAACTTTATTGTTGTTTGATATTAGTTGACCAACTATCTTTGACTATCGTGTACCCGTGTTTTCTATATTAAATACAAATACTCATCTATAAATAAATATTTTCTTGTAATACAAAAAAAATAAGGATGAAAGAAGGGTAAGTAATCATCAATTTTCCGCTACCGTATACACTCAACTGTTCTGTTGATAAAACAACTGAAGATTATACCGAAGTACGATGGAATTGATACCGTAAGAGAAAATTCGCAAGTCGCAACCAAAATACTAAAAAATCATTTTTATAATAAAAATTTAAAAAATAATATAAGTCAACGAAATATTTTGAGATAAAAAGGTTAAATAAGAATAATTAATTACTCAGGTTAAGTCAGTTATTGAGTCAATAAGTTAAAATACTTCGTTATTTACATGTTTTTATTTTTAATTAATGGAAAACGGTAGTTAGTTAAAATGATTAAGATTTAAATTCTTATCGTAGTCTAATAATACATCACTATATTATACATACCTCGCTTATGGCCGTGCATATTAACCGTGTACTACTCCATACGTTCCAGGTTCCAAGAAGACGACTTACAAACATTCGCTATCAGCATCCAGTGACACTACAGCTCCACCAACCACCAGTTCGTCTTCAGTCGATACCCACATGACCTCAAGCTTGTCCACGTCCGTTGAGAGCTCGGCAGACCAACCGGAATCGATGACGGTACGTTATCACATCCATGTCGGATTATTCATGTCAAAGGTTTATCGTTCTTGATCTAATCATCACATCAATATTAAACGTTGTTCAGATGACCAAATAATATAGTAATCTCTTTGCCGTGACATCAATCATTAATTAAAAATATTTTTAGAAGATTTAATGAATGTACAGTTTTTATATTCGTATACGATTATTTTTAAATAACGTACACTGCAAACAATTATAATTATGTCTCAGAATAAAATATACTTTTTTTGTTTAATTTTAAATAACGTCTACAATAGCTGTCTAAATTTGTTTTAAATATTTTAATTATAACTATATTAACTGAGACAACATTTAAATACAATGATACAATTCTTAAACATATCTAGATATTTTAATAATGATCATATCTGTTTTGTTAGTCCCTCGCTTTGATATAATGAATCTAAACTTTAACATAATCTCATTTCGTATGGTCTACCCGCATTAGTGGCTTTTTAATAGTAAAACAAGTATGTTAATTTGGTTATAATTAAATCAGGAAACAGATGCAAAGTTCTAATGAAACCTCCTGTAGAAGTAGAAGTTATCTCAATTATTTTGTATTGTATTTTTTTTAAATAGAAAGTAGAAATGTGCCCTGGTGTTGCACAAGCAGCCACGCAAACAACACCGGAAAATGAGAGAGTTAGTTTTGTACCTAATAGTAAACTAAAGCCAAAATTTGTATTGAAAAGTCGCTCAAATTCTAAGAATGGATTAAAAACTGATTCAATTTCTTCACCAGAATCAAAAGATAGTCAACAAGAAGTATTACCACAAGAACCTAAGTAAGTTAATTCATTAATAATATATATCAATGTTTAACTAAATACTTCATTAATTTTATAATTGAGCAAATAGTGTTTATACTTAGACCATAGTTAGAATACAACATGGTATTAGGAAATTAAATTAATAAAGTTACTAGTTTCGTCTTATAATTATATTTCTCAAAGACGTTTTATGAAATTGATATACTTAAAGTAATATATCATATTTGCATACAATTAAATTTAAATACATATGTAATAATATATCAACTGAATTCATAATACCTATTCAAATAGTTTAATTATAATATATTGTACAGAAAATTAAAATCAATTTTGAAAAACAACAATGTAGATAATATATAAATAAAAATATTCACATCCTTACACATATTGATTTAATAAATTATTTTATTCGTACCAATATGATAGATACCCCGCTTAAACATATTTTAAGAATTATTCTGAATTTATTTTTATTGCATCGAAAACATTTTTTTCCGTGTATCTATAATAATGTATTCAGAAATACTGTAATAAATTGATAAATAATATGTGTGTATGTATTCATTGTACATCATACCAACAGGTCCGTTACATTAGCACCACCATATTTGAAAATCCAAAAGAAAATTATACCAACGATTGTTATTTCATTTGTACACATTTGTAATCCTAATATAAACATTTGTACACCCCCCCCCCAAAACGCCCTCAAAAATGTATTTATCCGGCGGTGATAATGTTACGTTACACCAGCACCCCGGTACCAACCGGTGAATCAAATATACTGTACACGAAATTGCGTTAAAAACATTTTAATTATTCGACTAAAATTAATGGTATTTAACAATAACCAATAACATTTAGACAAACGGTCAAAATGGCGTTAAGTCCGTCGATGGCAGAAAGCTTGAGAGCCGTGTTCGCTGCATTCCTGTGGCACGAAGGTATCGTTCACGACGCTATGACTTGTGCGTCATTTCTAAAGTTTTACCCAAGTCTTCCAAAGAATGGTGCAGTGGTGACAAAACGGATGACTGAAAGGTATGTGTTAGTAGTGCACTAACTATGAAATAATGAAAAGCGCGCAAATGCATTGAATAAGACGTATATATTGAAATATCTCCGAGGCAGAAATCTGATTATAAATATTCAGTTAGATCTAAATTATCTCATTATTATTCTGTAGTGAGTTTTAAATCAAATGGCGCCCAACACAGTATTACTGTATATTTATGCACATATTCTGTGACTCATTTGGCCGACGGTAATCAGTGAGTGTGGCGGAATCTGTGATGAATATTCTTGAATTTGGACCTTTTCCTATCTTTTATCACTATGTAAATTTGCACCACAGAGTATCCGTCGTAGAAATTCATAGAAATGATAAGAAGTTAAATTAGTAGGATGTTGGAAACATATACATATTATACTTAAGGTTTTGAACACATTTTGAGTACGCACTACTAGTCAATTTCAGTTGAGTATATGTATGAAAACTAATTAATACATACATAATATCACAATTTAATGACGGTGTTCTGTATAGTTCGCGCGCAGAGTAACAGGCAAATATTACGTTTGAAATCATGTACGCGATCTACACCAATTTTTCGCCAGAAAATCTCGGCATAGTATAGTGCTATACGTAGATTCTAGAACTTATGACACATATTATAATAATTATATGATTGTGTGAAATCTCATGTTTTTATGTGACGCGTTTTCTGCAGGAATAAGGACCGTGGCCTGCAGAGGCATTCGGTGGAAGTAACGACCGGCGCAGGCGGTTATCGGCACATCCGACCCAACGAAATGAACCGACCGAAACCTGGAATGGCGTTACCGGCCGAAGGGGCAATCACCGAAGAGAGCATGACCAGTTCCGGTAACTCAGAACTAACAGACAGCAATCACACACAAATGGAACCTGCCGATAGTACAGGCGGTGATGGCCGGACAACCATCAACTTTCTGCCGCCAGCCCTTAACTGCATGGTCCGGTTGTGGGATGAGATCGCCGCCGACATGCTCCAGGTAAGACCTTTTGAAATATTATAAGAACATACTTATAACAGAATTAGATGTTCATAAAAAGGGTGTAATCGCAATATTGTGTTTCTAAACGTATATACATTTGATTGTGTTATTATTTATTTACATATACGTAATTACGTAATATATACAGTCATAGGTAGGTACCACGAAAACATTAATATTATATTGAAACACATACATGCAGTTTTATGTTAAAAAATGTTTTGTATATTATACTATATTTATTTAACCTTGTTTAAGTTTATTAGTTTTTTTTTTTTTTTAGTCATACACTGTAACACGTTAAAAAAAATGTATTTAAACTTAAACATTTAAGCAACAATTCATCTGACTTTCTCACTTTATTTGTAAACATTTATTATGCACGTGTATAATTTATTTCTCATATACTGATGAGAATAATGGTTTTAAATGATGCCGTCCATATAAATTTTAACAAATAAATACAATAGATTTAAACACAATAAATAATAATGGATTTCTTAGAAAAAAATATCATTATTATTTATAAACATTTTATCCGTACACTATAAATAAAATAATTTGAAATTTTTAATGGATAAATAAACGTTGTTATAAAAATTTAGTACAAAGGCATAAATATTTTGCAGAATGAAAGTCGTAGTGGTAATGCGTTGAAACGGAATAATAATGTTTGCTTTACGACACTCATAAAAGTTACGTTCAACGCACGATATAAAACATTAAACGTGAAATTTGTTATAAATTATTAAAATTAATTTTCCCATTTGTATTTATTCAGTTTTCCACTATTATTGTCTTTATTGGTTGGTTTCGCATCAGTATTGTTATATTTATAACAGTTAAACAAAGTAATGGAAGAAATACAAAACCAACAGATCTTGTTGAAAACGATGATTTTTTTGATTTTTTTTTTTGTTTCACTAAAAATGTTAAATAATAAATGAAACGGTTAGAGATAAATAGTTGTCTGTATCAAAATTACGGATGAATAAACCGACGTACGTAATATTATTCTGTTAGATTTATGTATGCTGCTGTTGTGCCGTATTTTGCAAATATTCTCGAGGGTTTTTTCGTGCCCTTTGACTGTAAGCTTAGATTCAGACTGAATTTATGAGGTTGAAAGTGTTTTATGAAACTTAAAAATAGTGTCCAGTTTTAGTTTCTGTATAAAAGACGTTTATTTATACTGATATTTCTTTTTACGTGCCTATAAGTACAAAAAAACACATTATTTTATTTTATATTTCTATTCATTGATATACGATAACTCTAATTTTAAATATGTTATTTATTAAGTTGATCGAAAATAAAAAATATATATATATAATTGGTTTTAGGTAATAAATTAGATGCTACATGACTGTACATATAAGATGGTGTATTATAAAGAGAAATAAATATCAAACGGAGAATATGAAAGGACTTTGATATTTAATTTAGTATAAAATTAATTTATGTTGTATAAACGATTATATATATATATATATATATTATCTTAAAATTAAATTAATGTATGTAGAATATATCATTTTACTTTACCAATTTAATGACCTTATGAAAAATACGCGTGGAGATAACGATGAAACAAAATAATATTTGTTGCAGGCCAAAAAAAAAAAATAGTATTTTAAATTTAGTCAATTTATTATATATAATTAGTTTAATTACACTTATGCAGCCGTATAAATTAGTAGCGAGATGAAGTAGTTATGGTGAGAGGGGAAGGTAAATTTCACGTCAGTTTTAAGTTCAATACTTAACAATTAATCGCTATGCGTGTTTTGACTGATATGCCGGTCAGACAAAATACAAATATGATATTATAAGCGCATGATCTGAAGTATTATCTAAGACTCAAAATCCCTGATTATATAATCTAATAATAATATATCGTTTTATAGATAATAACTTCGGTTGGCGTAGTCCGTACGTCTTCTCCTAAGCAGACGACGGACGGTGGCGGTAAAAATAGTGACAATGGCGGAAAAAGATCGTCCGTGGTTGCTATCACGCATAAGCCCAACAACCGTTTAATCCGGCGGCTGATGCCTTACTGCCAAATCAAGGAGCCCATGCCGTGCGAGCTGTGTGGTGACATGTTAAACGTGCCATTGTCTTATCACATGCTTACCAATCACCCTGGATGCGGTCACAGCAGCGGCGGGCGAGGTTACAACAGTAACGGTACCTACAAGACCGGTTGGTCGGGCGCTTGTGGTGATGGCGGTATCGCTTGGTATCTACTTTGCGAATCTTGCCGTGGTGGTTATATGAAACAAGCCAAGCCGCCACAGGTTCCGGTCTATGCTCCACCACCGCCGTCGGCTGCTTCCGGTTCCGGCCTGGCCGCTCGGTCCCGGAAGACCGCCGCTATATTTCAAGAAAACACGTACCCCTATCCAGATGAAAATGACGACGACGACGACAGCGATGAAAGCCCAGTAGAAGCAAAAGAAGGTGTCGTTCAGTACAACAACCGCGAGCAATCTAAACAACTGCCCGGTTAGTACCTAATCCAACTACTTTATCAAGCACGATATTGCAACCGTCAACATTTTCAAACAGAACGGATTTATTCGTCTTGAATTGTTGAGATAAAATTTTAATGATAAACGCATTGAAAAATGTAAGATTATCAATTAGATGCGTCATATTGTGCGTATACACTAGCGACTTTATAAGGAAGGAAAATACGAGTAATATTTGACAATTTTTTTTTTTTTTTTTTTGAGGGTTTTGCGTAATACGAAACTTAAATTCTTAAAACTCTAGTAACAATAGTTAGGTTCAATATACATATTTACAAAGTTTAATTGGACGTCGATAATAATGTCAAACGGTTGGTGAATTGGTGTAATGTACTTCACCATTAGGTGATACCCGAAAGCAAATCGTTTATTTTATTCGGTCGTCTACTGACGTGTATTCGTTTTACATTTTTGTATCTCAGTAGAAAAAGGTCAAAAATAAATTGTTTTACTGATACAATATTGTATCCATTGTACTATAAGTTTTAGTTTAAGATTTACATATTTAATCGTCAAATAAATAGTATTTTTATATTTAAAAAACAATAATGAATGAGTTTAGTTTAAGTTTAGTATTGTCGTATCATATTTTACGGTTTTAAAAAAATTACCAGATTGGAATACTTAAAAAATGTGGGTTTCAAATTTTAAGTAAAGTTTTTATTTCAATATCCCTGCAAAAACTCAACTAATAATGACTGTGGTTTTAATAAAATATACTTTAGTTTCGTGAAATTTATTTGCGCTTATGGATTATTGAAAAGGTAATATTTTTGTGCTTATGGTATATTTTTTCTTCGATGCTTTTAAGTTGCGTTCGGGTTATATTTTGCGCGTATAGGCCACAGCCATAGATAATATAGTTGCATAATATCTGTCCGGTTTATCAAAACTTTTATATTTTTTTCTTATGAATCTATTTGTAAGAAAATATAGTGAGATAATTTTTAAAAAAGTGGATTTTCTTTCGGATGCTCAATTTGAATACTTAAATTTTTCCTTGAATATAAAATCACGTATAAAAATTAAATAACAACATAACATTCTTTAAAATCAGGAATAAACTGCAACGACGAGCTCGTTGACAGCCTACATGTGACATTCAAAGAAAACGCCATGTTTCTGTTGGATTTGGCCAGCACCAGTGGTGGAAGGCCGACCAGCGACGAGCCGTCCTTAGACTCGGGCCCATGGGCCGTAGGTGAGTTCAAATGCCTTAGTAACCTTGAGGCTCCTGTGGCGTGTAAACATCTTCTACAATCCGAAACTTGCAACAATGCACTTCTGCAGCAACTTCGTGACGGTGATTCGACGGGGGTGCGTATTTATTCATTCCAAATAATGGTGAACAATGTTGTTTTTTAAAATTTGTATTTAAAATATGCTTTTATACTCTTATAGGTCTTGTCTCCGGGCATAGATGTGGTAGACGGGACTGTGACACGGAGCTTTCATAGATCCGCATCGATGGATATAGAGAAGTCGCCGCTTAGACGTCAAGACATGATCAACCGCCGCAAAAGGATCAACAGTACCATCGATCCTGGTATGTATTATGAATTATGACTTATGACACCCAAGTCAAGCTAAATAGCGAAAAGTGCATGATAAAATATACTCTAGCTTAATCTCAGTACATTTCGTGGAAATTTATTTGATTTTTCTTGATGTTTTTAAATACGCATCGATTTCTATGTAACCTTGCGGATCGTAATTTTTATCAATGATGAACAATGTATAATAATCAGGGCTTGAATTTGAAAAAAATATTTTTTTATTCGTTATTTACAATTAAAACGTTATACAAATTTTTAGTTTATCGTTATTCAGAATTTAAACGTTATTCAACTTTTGCGTTTAACGTTATTCAGAGTTAAAATTTTTAGTATATTTTATGATTTATAACTATTAAATAATTGGAAATTAATTATTTATTTTTATGATATACTGTATATAATGTTTTTCGTTATGTTTTGTTTTGTGTTATTTAATTATTTATGTTTATCGTTTTCCGTTATAATTACGTTTACACATTTCAATCGGTTTTTGTCAAGTATAACGTTATAATCATAACGTTATTATAACGTTTGCAAGCCCTAATAATAATAATAAAATTAGAAATAACTATTAGCTATAGATAATAAGCATACATAAGCAATACATCATATAAGCTGACTATTATTTATTTATTATTTTTAAGTTGTTATACAATGATATGCGATCATATCATTACAATATATTCTATTGGTTATTTAGTGCAAATGATTTCGGTTTCCAACAACTTAAAATAGTTATTTGACGTGTAATATCACAAATCAATTTCACGGATAATCATACAATAAAACAAATAAGGTCTATTGAAACACATGTTTATTTTATGTTTTACTTCTAGACAACGGATTAGCAATGGTATGTATGCCCTCGGCGGCCTTACAGGCACTCGTTCCCGTCGACAATGTTACTATGGTAGGTTGTTCAGCCAATGGTATAATATCGAACAACGAAAATGTGTCCGAGATAAACGTTTTCAACAGACCATCGATGGCATTTATTGTCGAAGCTCACAATTTGGATGATCTCAAATGGGCGATGAAACATGCGGTGAGGAAAGCCGCATGTCGCAGTTATGCTTTACAAGTAAGTGTTAATAAAAATATTAAATAATTATAGTATACGTTATTATTTTAGTTCAGTGAATATATATATATATTTAGAACTCACAAGTAATATTGGTTTAATTGGTACTAGATAAATTCAGTTCCAAACACATTAAGCATTTATATATTTGTTCAGAAAGAAAATTAGATAAATCTAGTTAATTTGGCTATTTTAGCATATTTTATCTATACAATATGCACACATATTTTAAATAATTTATGGCAAAAATGTATTTTTTTATTTTAGCAAGTGAATTAATATTTTCATTCTTTATAAATTTCAAAAAAATAATCAAAATGTTGAGATTTGTTAAAACAAATTGTATGTACCAGTATAAGTAATTGATAAAAAAAAAAATTGTTTTTTTTTTTTTAAATCTTAACATAACAAATATATTTTTGGTTTTCATTTGCACTACTCTACGATAGCACAAGTATATAACTAAGATTATTTTCAAAATGGATTTTATAGAATATTATTAATTTACCAGAAAAAACAATAAATTATATTCGATTGACTTTTTTAAAACTTTTTAAGTACACATTTTATATTTTTTGCTGATATCATAAGTTTTGTTTTTCAATTTTAATGTTCCAATGAAATAATCACTGTTCACATAATAAATCTATATGAGTCAAGTTTTTTCTCGTACTTTTATATTGTTTTTCAATCAGGCGCTCAATTGGTTGCTACATGAAGTGTCAAGATCGTCATGTTTACACGATCTCTTGTGGTGGTTTGTGATCGCACTATCTTCCGAAGTTCGCACGGTAGACGGGACCAGTGACTCCACTGATCCACGTTGTCGACATCCTCTAAGCGATTTATACCTAGCTGGTGACTCCGTCAACCCATTACCACAGGTATTCTATCAGTTTCTGCAAACTGTCTCTGACCTTATGCTGTACTTGCCACCGGGGTCTCCGCTGCAGATGATGGCCGTCCGCTGTTGGGATATTAATTTTACGGCATCCGATCACATGTTTTTGCACAGGTAATAAACAATAATGTTAAGTTAATATTTTTCATTTTTAATTTCGTTATTTTTTGTTTTTAAGGAGTAAAGTATTCAGTAATATCAGCAAAATACTATCGCACAGTGAAGATTATCAAGACGTTTGCGAAGACACTCAACCAGGTGTTTCCTCAGTAAGCTATCTTGAATTTATTACTCTTAACAATTTTAATGTATAATAAACGTTAACCAATTTTATACTTTACAGAATGATAACTACGTTGTGTCAATGCTCAAAGATATAACAGAAAATACAGAAATCACGACAACCAGTCGACCGGCAATGGTTCCAAATTTAATCGATCGAACAACAGAAACGTTTTGGGAATCCAGCGAAGACGATAAAAACAAATTCAAAACAATCACGATACAATGCAATCATGCTTCTGAAGAGCCAAAAGCACTTTACATTCATTTCGATAATTGTCGTGATTTAAATGTGAGTATTTCTTACATATTTTTGCGCGATGAACATTTATCAAATTTTAAAACTTTATACTTGTATTGCTTTCAAATAGAACAAAATATCAACGGTAGTTTTTTCATCCGGCCAAACAACCGAACAACTGAACAAAATACAAACAATTGATGTTGATACTCGATTTAGTGGTTGGCTCGGAGTTTACATACACGGTAATTTACGTGATTATTGAAAATTACACACTATTGGTATTTGATACACTATTAATTGTATAATATGACTTATCTGGTATTGTCGCAGACCAATCGCATAAAGTCCTCTGCATCGAAGTTCGAGGAGCAGACACATCTGTACGTGTTAGACAAATCAAAGTTCTCGGAACTGAGTCGGGAGAATCTCTTCCGTATGGTCGTCAATACAATTATTCTACCATACAACATCGGCTATGTGAAAATGAAACACTGAAAGTGTTCCGATCCATCACATTCCAGGTAAAGAATAATTATTCAAATTTTGTTAATGATTCGTTCTACAATATTATATTGTTGCCTTAAGGTTTTCGGGAAATTAATTCAAGGAAAAGAGACGTCTATGGATTCTAGTGTCGAAGAAAGTAAAGATCTAAAAGAGCACATGGTCGGCATTTTGTTCAGCCAAAGCAAATTGACCCATTTGCAAAAACAAGTAATAATTTTTAGATTCGATTAGTGGCCGAATAAGTATTTCTAATAATATTTGTGATTTTTTTTTGTGGCTAGGTGTGCACTCACATAGTAGACGCCATCCAAAAGGAAGCAATCGTAATGCGCGAAGAGTGGGAAAAATCTGTTGGCAAAAACGATAACACATCTAATAATGGTACTATCACACCGACCGACTCATATTGTTTCGAAATGCTCTCAATGGTGTCAGCTCTCAGCGGGAGCAATGTTGGTCGATCTTATCTAGCGAATCAATATGATTTGTTATCGAACTTATTGAGTTTATTGCACACGGGCAGCGCCAGAGTCCAAAGACAAGTAATGACCATGAACGATAATATTTTTTCCAAAATTACAAATAAAAATAATAACATACCAATGGCCAAAACAAATAAATTAATATATAACTGATTTCCAGGTAACTCTGTTGCTCAAACGAGTACTGCCAGAAGTTTCCCCTAGCGCGTTGGCTTCGTTGACCGGATCTAGACTTCCTTCTACCGGGTTTTCTATCGCTAGCCCGCTTTCTAAAAGCTACCAAATAGGACTGCTGGATAGTTTCTTAAGTGTCATCGCGAAAGCATTGATATTGCAAGTAAAAGTGAAGAGTGCAAACGGTAGCAAAGTCGTTAACTCGTTAAAGCTCCGTGACGTCGATTTAGACGAGAACGAATCATTGTGGTATCTCAAAGGTGTTTCTCACAGAAAACTAGCTGATGACATCATACAGATACTTTGGGACTTATCAAACGTAAGCAATTACTAAGCTGATCACAGTGTTTATATATTATATCGTTTTGATGTTATTTCTGTTTAGGGAAAGTTAGGTGGTAATAAAAACTGGATTGATACTACCCGAGCGGCGATCGCCGAAAACATATTGAACTTGACGAGGTTGAGCAAAGAACAAAGAACAATGGAATCGTGCATTAAAAACCCCGTATTATGGTTGGCTTTGGCTTCGCATTGCGTGTTGCATCCAGAGCATGCGGAAAGATTATCGTCCGGCCAATGGTTAAAATCAGAAGACTCCAAGCCGACTCCCCCGAGAGTAAGTTTTTCTAAGGAAGGTATAAACCAATGACCGTATTTGTATCAACATAAATTCCGAACCAATATAATTAGATAAGGTTTGTAATAATTATAAGACTACTTGCAAAACTAATACAGACAAAAACAAATTTCCCTATAGTTTTAGTCTAAAAATACCTCCATATTTTTAATCAGACATACAACAAACTTACTGTGTTAGGTGATGTCGATTTATCCTTCAATATTAAATACCAATACATTGAGCACAAAATCGAATTAAATGCATTAAATATAAATCATCGGGAATGAATAATAACAATTAGTGATTTCTCTATTCATTTTTTATTTTAACTGTTAATGTGTGTTGGTATATATGTTATAATGAAGTATACAATTTTTAGCCACTTTGTTCGAACCACGACGATGGCGAGACCGCGGCATCGATACAGTGTCTAATGTGCGGAAATCTTTGCATTGACTGCGACAGAATATTACACTTGCATAGGAAAACTAAACATCATCAGAGACAAGTAAATATGATAAACGCCTGCGACGGAGACACTCGCGTTACTATAATATTACACGCAAATGCGATAACTATAAAATACCTAACTAATGTTGTTTGCGTGATTCAGGTGTGCAAGGAAGAAGAAGAAGCCATCAGAGTCGACTTGCACGAAGGATGTGGACGAACCAAACTGTTTTGGCTGCTCGCACTAGCCGATAAAGCCACGTTGCAAGCGTTGGTCGAGTTTCGCGACACAACGTCCTGCTCTTCAGACTTAGCGGCACCAGTCGCTCGGGCCAATGTGTTGCAGTTGGCAAGAGTCGGAGTCTGCCGGTATTGCGGCATGGTCAGCAACGATGGATTGCTCGCTATCGGTAATGTCTGCGCCAACGACGAGTGTCAGGTATGAAAAAAAAAAAAATGGTTTTAATCATCCTATTATAATTTATGTTCGGAGCCGCCCGCACTGTGCTATAAATGAAAAATAAAATTGATATTTATGATTTCATTTAAAAAAATTCTAACACAGTGTTTAAAGCCAATCTTATTCCGATCGTACAATTTTCTGATTAAAATATTGTTATGTATTATATTTTTTATAACTACGATTGCTTTATTATATTGTCTTTTTTCGTTCGATTTAATCGTTTAAATAACATTATTTACAGTTACACGCGCAAACCGGATGTCAAAAGATATTGAAATGCGGCCATTTGTGCGGAGGCATCAAAGGCGAGACGAAATGTTTACCGTGTTTGCATGGGTGTGCCTCTGACGAAAATCCGTCACTCAAACAAGACGCCGATGACATGTGTATGATTTGTTTCACAGACGCCCTGTCCGCCGCACCGTCTATTCAGGTATAACTACGGACGATTTTTAATTATAATCGATCGATCGATAGTATGTATAAACGTGTAGAGCAAATTGAGCGTGATCGTCGAAAAATATTTTTTTAAAAATGCCTATAAAAATCATTATCGTTTCAGCTAATATGTGGACACGTCTTCCACTATCAATGTTGCAAAAGAGTGCTGGTCAACAAATGGTCTGGACCGAGGATAACGTTCGGATTTCAACAGTGTCCGATCTGCAAAGTGAGTATCGCGCGTGCCACATATCACAAGGTTATTCAAAATGATTCATCGGATTCCAATCGTTTGTAGACTTTTAGTTTTTAAGTTTAGACTTTTAGAGTAATATCAAATTCATTAAATAAAATAATAATACTTCAAACGTATTTAATCTTACCTATGAACGGTGTAAAGCGTATTGGTGACGATTCGTTTTGATTAACTCCGTATTATCTGAATCACTCCTTATTTATCGGTGTGTACGTGATTTAGACTGCGATAGAGCACGCATGCCTCGCCGAAGTCCTGGATCCGATTAGAGAGCTGATGGCTGACGTCAAACGAAAGGCTCTGATGCGTTTGGAATACGAAGGCGAATGTTCAATGAAAAATGATCATGCGGCCGTGTACGCTATGGAGAAGTATGCGTATTACGTGTGCTTCAAGTGCAAAAAAGTAAGTCGACGACATCATCAATAGTTTCTATCAGCAATACGGTTATCTAAATTCTTATAAATAATATATATTTAGCTACTTTATCGTTATTATTGTTAAAATCGATCGCGCAATGAGCCTTTAATGTTTCAATCGTTAAACGTTAAACAACCGTCTTAAAAGTTATGAATGATCATATTTACTTTTAAATAAATATTTTATTCTAACATTTATTTATCCCAAACTCATTTTTAGTTTACGTCTATTAACATACAACGTGCAACTTCTGATCAAGTCTACCAGATGATCTTAGACACACATGTCACAAGATTTTATTTTTATAAACACTGTTTTTGGTGCGATATTAATATTCACTGTTTGATCGTGTTTCGCAGGCCTACTACGGAGGCGAAGCTCGGTGCGAGTTGGAAGTGGGTGGAACCGATTACAATCCCGCTGAACTGGTGTGCGGCGGATGCAGTGACGTTGCCCGAGCTCAGATGTGTCCCAAACACGGTACCGACTTGCTCGAGTACAAGTGTCGATACTGCTGTTCAGTAGCCGTGTTCTTTTGCTTCGGGACAACACACTTTTGCAACGCTTGCCACGACGACTTTCAGCGCGTCACCAACTTGCTGAGCGACGAACTACCACCGTGCCCCGCCGGTACGCGATTGTTATAATACAAATAAGTTTAATGAGTATTTCGATATCCATAAAAAACATACTCGTGAATTTTTGACATACCACCTAAATTCACATATTTATATGAGAAAAAAATTTAATGGCATATCCGTGCCTTATTATATCATATCTCGAATTTTACAACGTATCTACCCACAAATATAGTATAAAATTGTTTTTAAAATAATGTTATTTGACTTATTCAACTGTTCAATATTTGTATATATATATATATTGAAAATTGAAATTTAATTTATTTTCTTTAAGATTTAAACAGTAAACAAATACCTATACACACGAGAACATTAATACACAAATACTTATGTTAAAATAATATAGAATTCACACATAATAATTATTACTGAGAATTAGATTTGTTATAGAGACAAAAGTTTTTTCATAATACAAAAACATTATTATTTTTTATGCAAATATTAAAACATTTTAATTAAATTAACATGTTTGAATTACTGTTTATAAAAGTATAAAACTTTTCATATAATTTATTAAATTATAAAATTACAAATAAAACAATTTTAATTGAAGATTTTTCTATTGATGTTCACTTGTAACTGTTTACTCAATTCAAAAATATTACCGATTTATCCAATCTTGAAAAGTGTATGTTTTTATTTATAATTCAATTGAACTTGAGGAAAAACATTTTCAAAAAATGAACGAAACAAATTATGTCATATAATAAAGACTTGGTCAATAAGACTATCTTTATATTAAATTTAGAACATACAATGTTTGTAGATATCGAAATAATATTTTAAAAATTTTGTATCGACTACGATGACGTTTATTGACATTATTTCCTATTCCTGCAGGCCCGAGAGCAACGGCTTTGAACGTAGACGAATGCCCACTACACGTCAAACATCCTCCGACGGGAGAAGAGTTCGCATTGGGATGTGGAGTGTGCCGGAACGCTCATACGTTTTAAAAAAAAAAAAAAAAACTCTTACTATTCAATATCACAACATTATTATACTGTAAAATTGTTGTAACGCTGTAAACGAAACTCTGCCCAGTCCATATATTTTTCCGTGTTTCTGCTCTTCTGCTGTCGTGTTATTATTATGACGCAGACGCGATCGGTAACCGTACTCGCAGTAAACACTGCAACCGTTACTTGTTCGAGTTAACTGCACTAAAAAATAACTCTACGACAGCAATCGATTTATTACGACAAATCGAATGCCGTCCGTTCCAGTACGAAAAAATAAATATTATATATCCATAGCCATAAAACCGTAAGAAATACACCGTAATAAGTTCCTAATATTTTTCTAGGACTGGAATCATCCGGTCCTGCTGTTATGTATATATAGCACTAAATTTACTGATTTACTGAGCAGAGTTCTCGTCAGTATACCTTTTACGGCGCGTCAGTCGGATACGTATTCATAGACACTATTATATTTTATAATCTATTTACGTTATCAGCTTTTGCTATTATTTCGATGCACGTGCGTCATTGTGCGATTGTCATGATCATAGGTATTGTGTACATCATAATATAATCCACAGTGTCTGTACTACAAATTATCACATAGTTTAATTTTTATTATTATTATTATTATCATTATTATTATTAGTATCATTATTATTATACATGTTTGTTTGTTGTAGTTAGTTATAAAAAAAAAAAAAATAATGTTTAAGTGTAGTTTGCCAATATCGATATGATATTATTGTTGTCTCCTCAAATATTATGATCGTATAAAATGTCATGATAGTATTTTATATTATATACAATGCGTACGTATTATCTAACGTCGTGGCCATCGTGATATTATAATATACTCTAACCATCCCCCCCCCCGGTCACTACATTACCCGAAATGTTAGAATTTCAGTGTTGTCTCTAGTGTAATATTTTCGTCTGTTACGTTTTGTTTTGTTTGTCGATCGAGTTTTATTCAAATAATATTGTGCAGTGGTTTCAACGCGATTAGTTAATAATATTAATGTATAATAGCATATAGTACGTAGTCTAATTTATTTGATTTCAAAGGTACCTGTAAGAGAATACTTAGGTGTGTTATTCGAAACGAGGCTACTTCGAAATGTGATCGAGCTTAATACCGTTTCTTAAATTTACTTGCATGTAGATCATGTAGTACTATTAAAAAGAATTTTCGTCGATTACGCTGTGTATTTCGACCACCTGTATTTCATACGTATTTTTCGCAAGTGCATTAATGATGATTACAAAGGTACACATCAATTGCGCCACAAAAACAATTTAACATGATAAATTAAAAAAAAAAAAAATAATAATTTATGAAATTTACGCATTATCATGTAATTTTAAGATTTATATAGTAATAATATACAGCAAAACCAATTAAACTTTAATATAATACGCAAAAATAGTTATTATAACTCACGTTAGTAAAAGATAAAAGTAAGCAGACCTAACCCTCATTGGATCCAAAGATTTTACAGACAACGAAACAAAAAAAGTATTACCATTTATTTAGGTAAAATATGAATTGTTTTACCAGGAAATAAATAATCTGATTTGATAAATAATAATAATAATATGGACAAGCGGTTCAAAAATGTACAAGACCGTAAAACCCATATCAAAAAATTCTTTTCATTTACTTACGCGAATCATGTAAACTTGGTCACTGACATTAGGTTAAACTCATTTTAGATTCCCACTAAAGTCACTTCAATGGTTCTACACTTATTCAAATTTCAGCATAAATATTCATTAATGTTGGGTATTTATGTTTTGAAATCGGTCGGCACAATTGATGTATACCCTTTTTACTATCGTTATTCATATTTAATATTAATTTTTTTTCTTTTCTTTCCTTTATTATTTGTTGGTGCAATCGATACGAACCTTCGAAACAACTATAATATCATGATTCGATATTTTTCTTATTTATTTATTTTGGTAATGAAAATTTCAACGTTCAATCATTTCTTCGCGTTCTTCTCTTTTACCGTAGCACACGTTACGCCAAATCGTATAAAATTTCATGAATAAAAACACATTATTATATTATGTACATCGCCAGAGTCGTATCCGTGTAAAATATTTAGTTTTTCCGCCACTCGTAAGATGTTTGGCACAATACGCTCGCTCCCAAACCAAAAAAACGAATATAATACATACGCTAATCACATCACTGCAACAACATACCTTACGCGTAAGACGTAATTTTTCACTTTAAATAATATTGTTGAGTTTAATATTCAACTAAAGCGTGTAAAATTGTTATGGTATTTCTAGTCATCGGGTTTAATAATAATTAAACCGTTGTCTTTTTATTGTTGTCCTGCGTCGTCCCACATCCACATGCGTTTAGCCTAATTTTTAATGAAATAATTTTAATAGAATGTTTTTCGCGTGATTTAATCTATTTATTTATTTTTAACCAATATACTTGTTTAGACCAAAATTATGTAAATCGACAGCTTAGTATAATATTAAATAATTATTACGTTTGGTTGCTCATTTGTGTTTTATGTTATTTTGTAATTTTTTCTCATCGACGGGATCCTCATTAATTTAGTTATATAATATTTACTTTTTACCAAAATCTAAATGTGCAATATATTATGTGTTCGATGTTTTAAATATAATGCAACTATGATCTATAAAAAAGACGTTTTTATTTGTTACACTTACTCTCATCGTCGATATTATACCCATATACGTACATTATTAATTGTAAGACCCGTTTACCTAAACAAGGTTTATTAAAAATAAATACGTATTGTTGTGTCGTAGTGTTTTAATTTTTCTTTTATCATTATTCATTGATACAAACATGTAATTTATGACCTTTAACGTGTTCATGGTTACGCTGACTACTCTGATATTGCAATGGAATGACCACAAATCAACAAATGATCGGAATATGAAAAATAATTTCTTTTGTAGAATAATATTCTTATCACTGTTCACAAAAACAATAATTTACAAATTTAATTATATTAATCATCTCCTAAATATTCATAAACAAATCATTTATTAGTTATTTTTATTCAAAATGTTCAACATCAAATGACTATTTAAATTGTAGATAATACGAAGAAATCGTACGGCGAGCAGCTCATAGAGGTCAAAAATAAATTATAAACATTGTGCCATGACTAATCGTTTTAGCACATAATATGTTTACAGTATGACCGTGTGATATATAGGTACTATGTTTGGTAAAAATTTCAAAATGTATTTCAAGAATGCTTTGATTCATTTTTAATTTATTAATTTTTTTTTAAACATTCTATGATTGTATACCTACACTGGATACATCAATAAAACTAAAATAATTTTATTGTTTTCATTTATTAGAATAAAAAATTATACTATATCAATTACATAGTCTATTTTTATTTACTGTAGCCTATGGGTATACAATTAGTATTTAAAACTGTTAGAGGATAGCCGATAGAGGAATAAATTATATATATATGGTCATAATTTTAAGGAATTTACATGCTTTAAACTAATGTTTTATGAAGAAATGACTCTTTGTTAATACAAACTTAAGTATTATTATTAATTATTATACATAAATCAATTAATTAAATTGATCATTTAAAATACATTTTTTTTGTGAGTTTATTTATTTATTTTTAATTAATAATAATAGTAACATTAGATTTATCTAAAAATAATAATTATCATTTATCACACCTAATATATTATTATACATATTACATACCACGAAAACTGCAAATTAAAAATTAAATTGCCTATTCAGAACGCCGTGTAACTATATTTTTTTAATCTAACTTAAAACCGTATATATATTATGTTATTTAATTTCAATAACAAAACTATTATCACACTTAATTAATGATTAACTTCTTGAGCATACTTATTGTAGGTCTATTTGTATTAAATTTTATAACTTTACAAGTATAACTTATTTTATACAAAAATATGATATTTACATACTAGTATAAATGAATACATCTGTATAAGTACCAATCATTTTTTCTTGTGAAACACTAACGTAGAGGGACAATATTTTAGCATCATTTCTTGTGTGCACCGTAGATTATTGAAAATTAAAATAAATAATAATATATTACTAATATAGATCCAATCGCAATTGGGAGATAGAAACATGTTCTGACTTCATGCTCAACAATCACAATGAAAAGAAAAACAGTACTTATAGATAATAATTTGTATATACATTTCGAATTTATGTTTTTATTGTTTTTGATGCCCGAGTGCAATTTAACGTAACTAGAAATGTAATTTCAATACACTGATAAATATTTATTTATTTTTTTTTTTTTTTGAATAGTTATCATAAACAAAAAATTCGTCATTAGAAAAGTGTTTTTTTAAATTTAATTATATAAAATTTAGTTATTGAAATATTAATTAAATATAACTACTATTAATATTGTAGGCCACCATAATTTATTAATTCATAAGTTACTAACTAGCATAATATGTGATAATATATCAATATTTTTTATTATTGAATTTTTTTAAAAATGTTGGCCGAATTGAATTTATGGATATGTTTTGCTAGAATATTTGTATTTATAGTACCAGTATATTAATATTTTTTTATTTATAATTTTTTACATTAGTTTTATATCAAGATGTATATACTATATAAATTTCTAACTGCTATAAGTATTTAATATGTATAATTTATTGTAAAAGTTTTCACACAAAAAAGAACATACAAATACAATTATCCCAACGGCGAACAATAAAAAGCAGACTTATAAAAATGTTGTTATTAAAGACGCTAATGATTTAACATTAACATAGACCTAGCAGTATAATAATGAGCTAGAAACGATGATGGATAAAATAGGTAGTATAGTGTATAAATGTAAATATAATAATAAAATAGTAATAATATTTGTATGAACGGCATACGGCCAATGGCACGTGTGTATAATAATTATAACATTATGAAATGCGAAAATCGGTTCATAGAATTATATGAAATCACGAATAATATTATTTACACTTACAAATTAAATGTCTAAGCTTTGGCAATAATTAAATAACACGTAAAATACCATATCTTAAGTATAAAATAAAAATAAAGAAAACAAAACAGTTAAAAAGTAAAAACGAAATGTCTTACTATCCGAAACGATATGGGTAGATAGTTATATAATAATGAATGTATAATAATAGTTCGATAATAGCGTATTATGATTAGTTAAAGAAAAAAACACACCCTATCGAAGAGGATGACGTTATCACCGTGTATTGTTATGAAATAACATAAATATTTCACTGTTTCCAAAAAGCGACGGCCTTTTTGAAATTGTCGGCCGTCTGCACGCGAATGGTTTCCTTGCGCTGAACGCCACCGGTGCCGCTCTTACCAGCCGATGATGCACTGCCGTCGCGCCGCCCACCATCAAAGATCATCCGGTTTGTCTTGCACTGGCCGCTGACTCCGGTACCTGTGGACAACGGTACGTCGTGAACGGGATGAATGGTGTCATGGCGGTTACGTGGTAGAGGAGAACGGGGATGTGTTTTGAGAGAAGAAGGTCCACGGGTGGCTGGAGAAGATGAACCGTTAGTTGTGGAAGACGAGGAGCGGCAAGTTGTGGGCGACGAGGGGTAACGAGTTGCTGGAGAATAAGTGCGACGAGTGACAGGAGAAGAAGGACGACCAGTGATTAATGGTGGTGAACTACGAATGGGTGGTGGAGGAGAACAATCCCGATTGGAAACTGTTGGCGTTTCTTCGGATATAGCCGATGGACAATCGGGCGGCCGGACGAGCATCGAAATCGGCGACGATACAGACAGACATTCGCTAAAACCGCTATCGCTGCGATCGTCACACACCCTATGGCCACTGCCACTTTTAATTGTTTCGGTTATCGTCGTTTCTTGTCCTTCCGAAGGTGGCTCACTGGTCGACTCTTCTTCTTTTAGACTAGCCATTTTTAGCTTTTGTAAAATACACCTGGCTCCGTTTCCATCTGTCATTCCTCCTCCCCCTGTTCCAGCACTGCTACCCCCGACGACTCCACGTCTGCTAGCCGCTGATAGAGTGGCCATCCTGCCCAGGGCACGTATTGCGTTGCCCGTTTTCTGATTACAGCACGCAAATCAAACAAAAACACACACAAGCACAAAAAAAAAACGTGTTAGTCGAATCAAAAAGCTACTCTGTTAAATTAAATAAATATTAGATAACTTATTCATTATATAATATTGAGTTAATGCTTAAAAGTATGAGTTAACAGTCTTAGTCATTAGGACGGATCCGGGTAAACCAATAAACATATTAAAAGGTTATTGATTTTGAACATAATTTGTAATTGCTTCATGTTTGCGCATAAAAAGATTATAAGAAATCATTTAAATAAATGTATGAACACTCAACGATAAAGAAGTAATCGATTTCATTGTTATGTCTACAAAAATGTCATAGCAAAAATAAAGTAGACAAATGGGTACCATGTTGTACATTTGATACAGTTGGAGTCATTTTTATAGTCTTATGAGTGTGTTCAATTTGAAGTCAATGAAATATGATATACCATTGTGTACGAAAAATTATTCCAAGCAAAGACAATCTGACAAAATATCAGCTTATAATATCACTTAATATATTTCATGATGTGATTTATGCTAAGTATTTCTATTTTCTATTTCAGTTATTTATTATACTTTTAGTATTACGTTAAGTTGGTATAATATTTATCAAAAATATTGTATTTATTAAATTATAAGTATTTAATTATTACAATAATGTTTAAATAGTGTAAACACTATATTATATCAACTTATTTAACTCAAAAATCAATATTAATTGTTTAAATAAGTAATTTCGTACAAATTTCAACTTAAAATACCTATAAAAATAATTAACTTAATATATTTTATTAGACTTTTCGATTCTAGTACAAACTATTGATGAAAAATCTTTTATTACATTTTCATAACTAAGAAATTTTTTATGAATTTCTTACTAACTACATAATAGTATAAAAATGTTTGTCATTTGGAATTGTGCCTATATATTTTTAATATTTTTATACAGATATAAATAAACTTGAGTGGGATCTTGGATTAAATTTGAATGTATTTCGACCCAATAATTATATTTTTATTGGTATTTATTTAAAAAAAAAAAACAAGTCGAAAATTGCTCATGCCTATAAAAGCCTCACCATAATTTCACAGAAATTATGGAAATATATTCATATTATAAATAAATTATCTCTAAAATTAATTAACGTCCTCGTATTTTGAAAATTTCATTGCGTATAATCAAATATATAATTTATGTAAAAGTTTTAAATTCTCATGAATAGTGTTTTTGAATTATAACCAAAAAATTTAATATTGTTATTTTATTAAAATGAATTATTAAATGAAATGTTTTATTAAAATATGTAATCACAACCAAAGTTAAACAACAAATATTAAAAAAAAAATTGTTTTTATGATTTTTAAATTTTTTAGTTCCAGTATGAACTTCTTAAACAAAATATTGTGTTAAATTTTCAAAACTTAGCTTTAAAAATTAAAGATCTTATACATTTTTTACTATAAAATTCAAACAATAAGTTACAGATTTTTACGATTATTGTTTTTGAATTATAACAAATTAAAAAAATCAATTTAGTCAAAAATTATTTTAGCACAAAATAACATATAAAATAAATACATTTATCAATCTAAAAAAGTGTTTATTACGATTTATACCAATACATAACATAAGTAAATTTATTAAACCTACGTTTTTTTGAAAGCAAACTCTTTTTTCTGATAATTTAAGTATCATATTCAAGATATTATATCGACTTATTCGAACTAAACTTTAAATAATTGTCAATATATTTAATGTTAATAAATAATTATCAGCAGAAAATTTTACCTATTATTATGATGTAAAATAACTTTTAAATATTATTACATTGTGATTTATGATTAAGCCAACAGTAATTTATTATTAAGAAAAATCAATTAAATTGAACATTATTGAAAATCACTCGACAACATTTTAAAAATAAAACTGTTATCATATTATTTTATTATCAAAAGCTTAGTTAGATTGGAAATCATGTACACGTATTTTTGTTGTCATGTTAAACGCTACGTAACTGCAAACTTACTGCTATTCTACCATAACGATAATATTATTGTATTTATATAAATCGGGCTAACCTGCCATTTTCGTCGGATGATAAACTTTTTAAGTTTATCCGTGCTCAGGATCACGCAACTCATATCCATGTCCTGTTGTGCCAGCCACTTGTGTTTCAGGCATTCTTTGGCAGTAAGTCTTAATCTAAAAAATAATTTGTGATTAATAAGGTACACAATATCATTACCGATTTGTTTGTAATAAGTTGATAACAATCAGAATTTAGAGATTATAGTAATATTAAATCGGTATAATAAAACATAGCAGGGCTATAAAAAAATATACTTCAAGGTTCAAAGAATTCAAATTTCAATTACATTTCCTTTTTTAACGTGAATGTATATTAACAATTTTTTTTTAAATATTATATCATTATTTGATAATTGTTCACATTTTATTTTATTGTTAATGGATTGTGGATAAATTGTCAAAAATGTAATAATTTAAATTGATATAAACTGATAAATATGATAGATTAGGTTAATTTATAGGCTTTAAATAACCATGTTTAATTTGATAATAACAATTGATTTCTTTTAAACTATTTTAAATTTAATAAATAAAATTAATAATTTTTTTATTTAAATTTAAAAGGCAGAAACTCATTTCAAAAGAATATTATAATATATTTACATTAGTTCATAAACTAATTATTAATAATAATTTTCCACTCAATATAATAACAAACTATGGTTATGTTTTATATTACATATTTTTATTTTTTATCTTTATTCTATGCAAAATGTTTAAAATTTAATTGAAAAATGTATTATTGTTAAAACCGCGGAGGGTACCGTACTCTTTGCGTTTGATCAACAGCGCGCTTATGAAGTCCTTGGCATCTTGAGAGACAGCATCGAATGCCTCGTCGTCGAAATCAAACTCTGCTTTCGTTATGTTAGTGAATGTTTCGGAGTCGTTGTCCCCCATGAACGGCGAAAGACCGGATAATCTAAATACCATGTAAAAACGTGAAAAAAAATCGTGAAATCGAAAAAATTAAAACATGTCCAAATCAGGGTGAAATGCCCCAAGGGTACATAAAAATCGGTTGCATTCAAAAACCATTATTTTCATATCATATATCTTTGACTATCATACGATTGATAGACAAAAACCGTACACATTAACGGTTAATCGGATAAAAAAATACCGCACACTATTTTTGATATGGGTACAGACCATACGTATTTTGAACGTAGAAAACATTTATTAAGTTTACAAAAAGGTTTGATAGAATCATTACATTTTGTTTTAAATATTCTTAAAACCTAAAATTAAAAAATAATTTATGCTTACAAATAAGTTTAAACTGCTATTGTTACTCGTAAAACAAACAATATATATTTATAATAATTGTTGTGCTGTAGTGTTTAAAATAAAAGCACTAAAAAAAAAAAAAATAAATAGATTTATAATTTAATTACCGTGATTATTTAATCACCAATGAATATTTAGTCAAAGTTAATTTTATTTATCTATTTTTTTTTCAAAATACATACGTTTTCAAGTAAGTAGCTAATTATAAAATTGTGAGTTTTTGAATACAACAACCTTAAAATAGTTTGTAATTTTTAGATTTAACGGTCGAATCACTTACAACACGTAGCAGATTACTCCCACGGACCACATGTCCGATTCAAAGCCGATGGGCTCATAACCGATGATTTCAGGTGGAATAAATTCGGGCGTGCCAAACAGCACTCGCATTGGCTGTCCTGGTATGATTTTCTGTGCCAATCCAAAGTCAATGAGCTTGATATAGTGCGAAGTCCGTGACTGGCACATTATGTTTTCCGGCTACAGACGGAAAAATATTTAAAGCACAAAAACTGTTAGATTTACTCACAAGATAAAACAATATTATAATTATTTTATAATATAAACATTATTTTTATGCAATAATTAGTACAAATGACTTTATAGAATAAATTTATTTTTTTCATGTAATGATATACGAAACATTGCAACGTCAGTTTATTAATATATTATGAAGATATAATAAGCATTGTGCTCATTTGCTACCATATCGGGTATGATTTAAAAAATAAAATATAAATCCACACGTAGTAATTATCTAGTTGATTTAAATCGTTCAAACTGATCTTTGTAAAAAAAATAATAGATAGTATAAGCAATGGTGGAATGTTTTGAGTTTCTACCTAATTGAAAAAACTATACATAATTAATTGTAGGTACATCCAATGTACTCCGTGCCGAATTTAATACAGGTGTCGTTTTAATTATTGCCATGTTTTTACTATTGAAGGCAGCAAAATACATTTTTATTGGTAAGTTAGATAGTTTGCAATGGAAAAATATTAACGAACGATTCACGTACTACAGGCTAGGTACAAACACGTTCAAACCTAACCTTGAGTACAACAGGTGCTTTGGTGAATAATTTCATTATATGACAAAATTTGCTTTTTTAATGCCATCTTACTGTATTTAGACATAGGAAAATACTTAAATACACGTCTATAAGCTATTAAAGGTTTGAAAAATTCATAATCCAATGAACCATGAAAATTATAAATAGCAACAAATCAAACTCTCAAAAACTTTACATACCTTTAAATCCAAGTGAACGACATTCTGTTTGTGCATGTAATCTACGCCTTCGCATATCTGCTTGGTGAACAGAATGCAATCCTTTTCTGTGAGCGTGAAATCATCAGCCACCACTCTTTCGAACAATTCACCACCAGAAATGCTAGAGATTATCATAAAGAATTAATTCAGTTCAATGTTAATAAAATAATTCAAATAAAAAATGAAAAAAAAAAACATTATTCAATTTAAAGTTTTATAATTATATGAATAATACTGCGTGTTGATAAACAAATAAGGTGTGTACTAAATTTAAATTGTATTTTTTTTTTATTTTTTTTTGGTAATAATACAGTAAAATGTGGATCAATAAAACCGCTCGTATTATTTATAAATATATAATATTTAAAAAAAATATTTTGCCACAAAAACATTATCAGAGTAATAAAATTATGAAATAAATTTGTACAAATATTGTTCTAGTTTTTTCAAATAAAATATGTACTTACTATTCAGTGACCAATACCACTTCCCTGGGCTTGTCGAAAGCCGCGTCGAGTTGTAAAAGTTTGGGGTGCCGCAGACAATTCATTATATCAACTTCTTCTTGCGCTTTTTCCTTGTCCGTTGACTTAATGCACCGTACAAACTTGGCAGCGTAATATTTATTGGTCTCACGTTCTTTCACTTTATACACGACCCCATATCTGCCTTTGCCGAGCTCATCCAGCATTTCGTATTGCTTATCAAACAAATCACCGTTTTCTATGTTAACTGTTTTTGGCCAAAGCGTGTTTCCATAATCTTTAAAACCATAGTTTAATATAATTATCATTTCAATAATTCAAATTTAGTCAGAATGCTTTATTTTAATTTTATATAATATGAATTTTACACATTATGTTGTTTACTTATCATGCCTGAGTAGTGAGTATCGACTCACATGAAAAAAATGTATTTAACTTTTAAAATATTTTATAATTTTTTGTACAATAATATTGTTAATATATTTTGTGAAATTTTTAAATATAGAAATGTAATTAAATAAATTATTACACAAGTTACAACATATGTATACCATCAGAATTGTCAACTTATATGGTATTATAATTTATGAGTTTATGGTCGTATTTCATGATCAAATTATTAAAAAATGTACCTAATAATACATTATAATAAAATATACTATAGATAAATTCTATCAATGTTTTTGAATTTATTTTTATCTATATCGATTATTAAAAATGAACATTATGGCAACATAAATTTAATATTATCATAAAAAAATTAATAATATGTTTTGCTCTACCTATGTACTGTATAGACCCACCGACTTATATCATAATGTGGCAAAGCAGGAATAATTCTTAAATATTATTATTTTTTCTATTTTTCGTCGTTTATTAACACATCGTGTACTGGACTCTCTCTTATCGCCCACTCCTTGTAGGCACACACGCATGACTTGAACATAAATGCACACGATTTCTTACATGCATTATTACGTTCTTATGGACTTTTACTCGTTTTTGATGTAATATTTTATAAGGTAATACGCACTAACCATATTTTATTGTCGACGGTTTATTTGTCGTTTTATTCGCGGTTTCGATTACGATAGAAAAAATTCCTTTTAAAAATAAGTTGATAATATGGAGTATTGAGCAGTGGGAGTCCTTTGTATCAAGAGTTGTGATTAAGCATTGTAATCATCCTGCACTCTTGATATATCTTCAGATATGCTTATACAGCGTAGAACGAGACTGTTATAATAATTTAGTGCTTACACCACCTATATTATGATACAGGTAATACTCGGACGTGGCGAAACCGTAAATGCAAACTTCTCTACGAACATTATTATATATTACATTTGTAAGGCCTCGTGAAATTGCGAAAAACCATACACGGAAATATTAAAAATATGACCTATAACATTACTACGATAATGTGTTAACCTTATTACAATAAAATATTATTATTATTATTATTATATTTATATACGTTACCAGTTTGCAATATGTACACCGGTGTGGATTCTAGGCTCGCTTCGCTCGATCCGTGCATGTTTTCCGCTCGGACTCTAAAAACGTACGACTCACCGGGTGCTAAACCTCGGACAATGTGCGATAATGAGTGACACCTGGACAGAAATAGTGAGAGAATTATACATAGAAGCCTCAATACAAAACGATGTAATGTATAAATATACATAAAATAATAACAATCGATTCACGTGAAAAGCCGTGGAAAATGAAAAGCAAATTAAGCAAGGGATAGGCGAGACATTTTGTAAGCACATACTGAGAGTATCGTATATTATATAATTAAGCGTTATATAATTTATTTATATCAAAAGGTTGCATATCACTGCCATGTTACAACCGTTAAGATTATTTGACAAGGAAATCTCCCATAGTAAAATAAAAATAGAAAGTATAAACACAGTTGAAAACAATTTTCCCGCTTTCGCCATAGAAAAATTGTTAAGTATATGATGATCCACGCGTAAATGAAACGTGCTCGTCGATCGATTATTTTATTATTATTATTTTTTTTTATTTTTTGTAACACTGATATCTAGTATAAATTATTATTAATATTATTATTAGTATAATATCGACGAATTTCATGTAATATATATTAATATGGTGTACGATAATTCGTCTTGTCCAGCAATAGATCGTGATTATGAAAAAGCAATTTATTTTATTCTTTTAAAAACTCTACTCGAGAAAGTAAAATTAAATTATAAACTATAAAAGAAATGTAGATACTGTGTGTTTGCAGGTATCACTTATACATTGTTAAAAAAAAAATGTGTCGCGTAATATTACAATCATAGAAATTATTATATTATTATTAATATTATTCGATCGATTGTTTTTCAGCACTGCACGTCATCGTGTACTCGGTGCATGGTCGCAATAATCGGCTGATGCATAACGACACGACACATAATATGACGCGTACATAAGTGGATAGTATTACTTAACGACAAGAATTATTAAAACATTTTTTGTTTTTTATATAGTATACTTTAAATTCAAGACCAACTATAACGTTATACCATTTGTTGACAGTTGTTAAGGGAAAACTTTGCGTGTAACACTATTGCCCTCCTCGTATACTGGATAATCCTATTATCGAACACTCATTGTTTAAAAATCTATTAACATTTTTAAAAATATTTTTTTATGTAATTTCCAGTTAATATAAAACAAACTTTTTTAAATATTTTACCGTTATGTTTTTTTTTAAGTTTTTTACTTTTTTGAACGACAACATACATTTTTATTTTACGAGTATATTCTGAAGCAGAATATTTTTCGGAATAATTATATACATAAGAATCGAAATTTGGAGGAGTATTTTATGGGTTAAAAGTATTTAAAGTTTGGTGGACGGAGTAGTAGCCAACCATTTTGCGAGATATCCCCATATACTCCAATCTGCTCACCTAAACTTTATTACATAATATCATGTTATGGTGTAAGTAGCATAATAAGTTATACCGAATTGTAAACAAAACTTGAAAAAAGTAAATTGACACTCACTTATCGGCCACTAGTTTCCAATCGGACTGGTTGAACGGTCGGACTTCCACGCCGTAACCGGTGACCATACAACCGCCATCGTACGCCGGACTGGACCACGTTACGTCCGCACTAGTCTCAGACACAGAGACAACAGGTCTGCCGGCAGGTGGATCGGGAGGCCCTACAAAAACAGATACGCACATATTATAATTAACACAATTTACAATTATCGGCCGATAATAAAACAATAACATTGTACAGGTAGATAATATATAATATATCTTATATATTATATTACACAGTTGAATTGTTTATACGCGCTGAATGACTACTGAACCGATTTAAATAAAAGTCATATTAACAGCACTCTTAACTCCGAGAAATTTTTAGGTTTTTTCAATCATGAGAGGCCGCGAGGGTGGTTAAAAAACGAAGTTTGTTTTCACTCACGATAATCGAATAATTTTTGGTTAACATGTTCACCATAGGTTGAAGAAATAAAATTTAAAAATAGTCTATTTGATATATACCAGCCAACCTACCGTCATTTGTTGTTAAGAATTTTTTTTTTTTTTAATTAAATAATGTTCCATGTATTATTTCATATTTGTTATTCAAATGATCAACAAAAGACATATTGACTTATGTTTGTAGAGTACAACTCGTGCACTGCTCGGCTAATTTAGTAAAAGACAGTTTTAACCACATCTGAAAATATATATATATATTATATATACTAATATGCTACAGGCAGATTGCTCATCTCGGTAAAATTATTGCTCACAAAGCGAATTGCGTACCATTGGTGTCAATTTTTTATGAGCGATACTACACTATAGAACCGAGATACGTTATATTTAGCCGTATTTAATGTTTGTTCAACGTTTCCGAAATAAAGTGTTGTTATTTAATCAATATAATTTTTAAAATATAAATACTAAAATATGCCGTTACACTTATTACGACGTGCGGTGACCGACCGTTCGTGATTATAACGAACCGGTTGGAATATTGCACTTGAATCGATGTATTGTAGAACGTTAGTTACCTTAACGCTATTACATTTTTATGACAAATGTACGAATCGCCTTTGATCACACTCTACAATATCTGAGATGATGGTCGCGAAAGAGCGAGACGCGAAGTTGTAGCGGCACGGTAGTGATTAAATATAAAATATGATGTTTGTACGTAGGTACTGTCGAACGGAACGTGTGACCGCAACAATTATAAAAATAATAATAATAATAATTTAATGTAGGAGTGTACGCCAATACCACGGTTCACTTGCGGTGAACACATCGTAATAGGACGAAATTGTGTGCGCGGAGTGATAATCTATGAGATGGTTACTATACGCTCGTGGTTAACGCACGCGTCGACGAAAAAAGTAGAAAAAAAAACACAATTAACTTTAAAAAAACATTTTACACGCGCGAACCCAGTAAAAAAACAGCGCATCGCTGAATAATTTCCGCTATTGTACCTACAATATTATTGAATGATGACATTACGTATGTCGTCGAGAGACGAACAACTCGTGCGGTTTTGAATTTGATATATTTTGTCGTGTGCATTCGAACACACAGCATACAGTTTTCTAAGTGCTTGAGAGTATGGCCGTTACGTGTTATGTGTATTTGTAGTGTTGTTCGATAATGTCGCAGCGATTGATAATATGATAATATAATGAAAACACGCCGCACGTAACTTTAACAGCACGTTAGACCTGTATAATATTTTATGATGCCGTGGCTTACGAGTATTCGTCGTTTCAGGTTAAATGTGGCACTGGTACACTGTGCAGTAGGTAAACGACACAAGGCTGAATACGACGACGTCAATTTGATTAGCTAAAATCAGGCCAGTATTTGAGGGAAGTTCGAAGGAATAGTCACCGTTGATGGTGGTAATATTAAAAATTGGTTTGGTAACGAAAAAATATTGAAATGGTCAAAAATGTAAAAACGTCAAAATTTAAAAATTATTACCATATACATTAATTGTAATAATTTAGTAGAAGAACTAAAAAAAGAAATTTTTTATGAGGATGTAATATCTAAATACTTCTTATATTGTTATACTATTTTAGATGAGTGGTAAATTTTATATTGTCCCTGGCGGCAATTTTTGTAAATTCAAACCTGCCTATAATATCATTATGCTGCTGTATCGTCCAATATTGATTGGTGTATGTACCTACTATTTTGCAAGTGTAGGTACATATCGTGTTATTATGTTCACCAAATTAATGTAATATTTTTTGTTGTAGTAGATAACACAATAATAAGTAGTTAAGGCTGTTGTTGATGCGCGCGTGTGAATTATAACGATACCTAGGTAGTAAATACTATAATACAGACACTTTCCGATAGCGATAAACACGAACAAAATAATATCCCTATTTAATTTATTCTCTATATTAGTTTCCAAAATATACATAAGTTTTTAACGTGACTCTTTCGATTTATCAACCGATTTACTTAAGTTAACATCGGGCTTATTAATTCCTGGTGTTCTAGTGTTTTTGATAAAAATAACAATTTTCTGGGTTATCGTCAAATTTACATCGACATGACGTATAAAAATATTTAAAAATTTAATACCCAATCCCTAATTAAATATTATATACGTCTCCCTCACCACGTCGGACGAGTATCACCATTTTATAGACTTGTTGATTGTATATTTTTTTTAAATATTAACGTTAAATTTTACCTTCAACGGCGACCGATGCGAAGTGGAAATCGTTACCATGTCCGTTATCGACGCGAACCACGTACTTGCCACAATCGTCGGCCGTGATCGAGTCGATCGTCAGACTAGACTCGCCATTTTCGTTAGTTATACACAAATGCGCGTCAGACTCCAACACTTTGCCCTGTATACAAAATATGACTGTCTATATTATTGTTGTAATAATTCGAGGTTAGATATTTTATTAGATTATAATACTATTATTCATAATAAGTATAATAAGTGATCAAAAGATTTTGAAAAATCTTTTGTCCTATTTTTCAATATTATTTATTTAAATTTTTTTCTTAGTAAATTCACTGCAGTACCAATATCGTCGACATTTAATAATAAAAAACTTACCAGTATTGTGTATTTAAAAAAAATAAAATCCCAACAATTTTTAATCAATAATATTAAATACATTTTACCCATAAAATATTCAGTACTACAATCAAAATACATTTTATTTGATTTTTGCCAATATCTATGTAGGTATATTATAATATATAATATATATATATATATATTTATCAATAAGAGGCTATGCTTGTGTATGCGTGTGTATAAATGATCCACAGTTAATAATTTATCAAACTCATAAGTCGTAGTTCTGAAATTTGCAACAAGTGAGTTCTAATTTACACCTCCAAGTCAAATTTTTTAAATTTGAAAAATGAACTCACACAAGGATTTATTGGTTTAAGAAAAATGAATAGTTTTTTGCTTGTATAATGTAAGAGTAATTAACTAATGTACTATGGTCCTTTGGTCATTGATTACAGAAAATAAAGTATTTATATTACGATCAGACATAATTTTAGACATGTATTTTATATTTGCTCAAAAACTCCGAACAACTGCAATATTAAAAATGTATGTAATTTACATTCAAAAAAATGAAGAAGCTTTTGAATTCACAGTATTTAGTTTTTTACGAACAACATAGTGCAGATCGACTTGTTCATTGTAAATTGAAATAGTTTTTTCTTCTTAAATCGATATACTGATATTGTTAACTGATATCGATATCAAATATCAATTAACAATATTGTACTAAAATAATATATTTATCTCTAATCCGTGATTCTTTTTTGTATATAACCATACAATTTATAATTAACTACTTACCGCTCTAAGCCATTGGACACGCGGTTCGGGATTGCCCCGATACGCCGTCTTCAAGACCACTTTGTCGCCACGGAACACAGTCGTGTCAGATGGTCCACTGAGTATGGATGCAGGAAGTGCGGTTTTAGTGTTGACCGGGAAATCGCTCGCAGTTTTTTCTTCAATATCCTGCATATTGTTATTAAGTTCGATGACCATTGGCATCTGATTTTCACATGACATTTCTATGTGACAATAATAATAATAAATAATACCATATTATAAGTCATACGTATAATATTATATTGATATAGCTATTTAACAATATTTTGTTCCACGAAATTCGTACAAACCGTTTATAACGAGTTGTCCACTAGACACGGCTTGGCCAAATGTGTTGGCCACTTTACAACTATAAATGCCGCTGTCTTTTACAAAAGGGTCGGTGATTGATAAGCCGAATTCACCGCGGTCTTCGGTCATCAGGTACTCAAAGTCCGCGCAGTCGGGAACAGGCACGTCATTTTTAAACCACGTGGCATTCATAGGAACTGCACCTGAAAATGAAAAAAATAAACAAAATTAACCGTGCAATATAATTTATGTAGTTTGCACTATATTATAATCATATGTAGTGTAGTCTTACCTTGGAGTTTTACAGTCAACTGGACCGGTTCTCCTTCGTCAACGGTGCGCTTAGGAACAAGACCCTGGACGAATATCGGAGGTTTTAGACACGAGTCGGTGCCCAATTTTGTGTCAAATACACACAATTCTGTCGAACACCTGGTAACACCAGACTCGCACCTAGCCACACACGTGTATACGCCTGTATCTGCCGACTCTAAGTTACATATCGAAAGTCTAGCCGCCAAATCATCCAGAGACGAAGTCACCCTGTCGTCAGGCTTGACTTCTACGTTATTCCTGTAAAGCAAATACCGTAACACTCTATATTTGATAGAGAGGGGATGAGAAGAAAGAGCTCGGTAGTACACTTAATGCGTCTTTTAAGCAAATAAATATTTATATATTGTCCATCATGCAAATTCACACGATACAAAAAAGAATAGTTATAAATTTTGTTAGTTAAAGCTTAAAAAAAAAAAAAAAATAACTAATATTATATTAATTTTAATGAAAATTTTAAAGGAGACAGAGACACAACTGCATATATTCTATAGTAATAATATAGAATAATCTATTTCACATCACCATTTACATTATATTAATAATACTATAATAATAGTAATTCATGACATATTGAGAAATGAGAGATACTCTATTAGGCCAGGTTTGAATTATAGTTGGGTTATAAAATAAAAATATAGTACTCACTTATACCAGGTAACATCAGACATAGGGTTTCCTCTTATTTCACAGCTGAGAGTAAAATTTTCACCAGCACAAGCAGCCGAGCCGGACTGTCTCCTGCCGTTAGACGACGAAGTAATTTGTACGTCATTTGTGGTTTGATTGTGTGCTGTTGTAACATTAAAAATTAATGACTATTAATTTTGATCCAGTAATAAAAACTTATGAAAAAAATTGTATGCGTAACATTCCTATTATATTAAAATTAAAATTAAAAACCGCAGACGATAAAAACTATCTCTGATCGTTGATACAATATATTATGTATTATGTAGATGCCTTAAGAAGGAAATAAGGTCATATCTCAGCGGTGCTTTTATCAAACGATTAGTCACGCTCAATGACCATGATTTTGATATTTCTAAACTTTTAATTTACGTGTTTATACATTTAATATTGTAGAAATTTTCGCACACGACAATCAATCAGACTTCTTTGCGTGACTATATGTTTGAAAGATAAATTTTTATCAGTGGTTACAAAAAAAACACAACTTACAACTTTAAATCTATGTACCTATATATCATATTTTTAAATCCAAGAGATTTTTTGTACAAGGTACTTATGGTAAAATTTAGAAATACAAACTTCTATTTTTCTAATAATAATCCCCTTTTTTTTTCTACTCAAATTATTTCGTGGATAATTTTTCTCAAAAATGTTACGTATAAAAATCAAAATTCAAACGAATAGTTTTATAGTTATTTAATGTTGTATACTAAGAATAATACATCTATAATAATAAGTATAATATTAAGATTAAGATTGTAGTAATTAATACGAATCTATCAACATTTATAATTTACAAAAATGGTCCAAGTTTGATTAAACATTAGACACAAAATTACACATATTATATAATTTTGTAATACCACATTTAGAAACTTATCCTCAGGGTAAATATCTCAAAATTTAAAGTTCAAAAAAAAAAAAACATACAGTATAAAATAATTTATAGTTAAAAAGAATGGAAGAAGTTCTCATTAAAAAAACAACAGAAGTTTGTATCACCACAAGACATTCCTTAATAAGTAGATAGCTCAAAAAATTTTAAAAGAATTTGAAAATGTATTTATAATATTTAAAAAAATTAATAGTTAGAATTTGAATGAATTTATTATTACAAGTTCAGAAATAAGGAAGCTTGCTTTACGAATTTTATTATATATTTGAAACGATCGAGAAAGTTAATGAATACTCACTCAACACTTCGAGCCGGGCTGTGGCTTGAATTTTTCCAAATTTGTTTTCTACGGTGATTCGGTAGAGACCTGCGTCATCTGTAGTGACGTCGCAAATCTCCATCGACCGGTAATCATCGTCCTCGCGAATTCTTATCCTGCTATTGACACCGATAGGCTGGCCGTCTTTTTCCCATGACGACCACGGCGGTGGGTGACCTGACACACTGCACTGAAATCGAACAGTTTCGCCGACATCTGCGATTCGATCGTGTAGTACGGCATAAAATTTCGGTGCACTGCTTCGCTTCAAACGTTTTGTACCCCGATCATTGGATTCACCTGCAGGTATTTACAATTTACAGTGGGTATATAAAACTTTTTAAAGAAAACTATGAATATCTCAAGTATTATCTTTACACAATTTAAACGCTAAATACTAAAAAACCAAATAAATACTTAAAAATATTCGATGTGAGGTTTTAAAATTAAATAATAATAAATAATTAGTTTACACGTAGCTATTTTTTAGAATTATTAAAATAAACTTTACATTTAATGTTTGTCATAATATATAGGTCTATAATCATATAATTATCTTTGTTTTTATTTTATTTTTTCTAGACATTATTTGTATCTACTATGCTTTTAAGTATTTTTATATAATTTTATTAATATTATACTCATGTATTATATTTTATACGAAATTAAAATTAATGTCAACTCCATCATAAGTTCAAACTTACAGAAGTAGTATATTTTATATTTATATAGAAAAAAAAAAAACTATCGATTTTTAGTTCTCGTTGAAATGTAAAACATTAATTAATTTTAAACAATAAAGTATATTACAATAGAACCTAGAAACTTAATAATAAATTGAATGTCATTCGAATATATTATTAAAAGTTGTATTATCTAAATCGGATTTTGTATTGTTATTAATTTACAATTTTTCTCACCTGCTAATATTGGTGAACCAATCATAGTTTTTTGCTGTCCGTTTGACTGGGGTATCTTAGTGGTCTCTTGTGAATCTAAAACATTTTAATGTGAACATCGCAGTACAATTTATTTGCAATTTTTGATGAAGAACTCACTTGACAACAATATCAGCCGCGCCGACGTCGAATCTTGACCGAGTTCGTTGAAAGCTGTACATGTGTATAGTCCTTCGTGTAGCGGACTCACTGTGGATATTTCGAGACGAGCCGTATCACCATCGATCAGCTGAGACTTAATCTGTTTGCTTAATCTGACCAACTTTATGAGAACGGGTTGGAAAAAATCATCGAAAAAAAATAAACCGTAATTACAATTTTATTTTTAAGCATATGCTATAAAATGTTATGGATATTGAATTATTCAAATAATATATCACACGCAAGTCTTAGGGTCATGTATACATACTTTGCCATCTTTTTGCCATCTAATATCCGTCTCTTGTGTAATATTCAACTTGCACTCAAACGTAACACTGTCGTTTTCCCGGCACTCTATGTCGACCAGCCCTCTACTTATTCTTGGTAACCTTTCCACCGTTCTAGACCAACAGTGAACAAACATAACATTATAAGTAAGGGTCGTTCTAACAGTAAATTACTGTCAATAACCATAGTTAGTATACAATAATATTAATCTGTACATTATACAATGATGCTATGTGATGTAACTTACGCGTAGTTTGTTCCATTTACCATTTTTTTCTTACAGTGTCCTAGGGAAAAAAATAAAAAAAATAATTAATATGTATCATTTGGTGACACAGTATCGTGATAGAAAACGACATGCGCACACACAATTTAATAAGAGACAACATATAAAGATCCGCTTCCGTAATTAGGTCTGACGTACCATATAATCATATAATTTGTAATTTAAGTATTCTCGTCAAACCATATCGTGACGTATAATAACATAACTATTAAGGTTTTTCACCGGCGTCATGGAAGGTTCGCGGGTACTCAATTGGCTACGGCGTCGAGATTGTTTTACTAATTTCGAATAAGTGACGTCATGAATACAACACGATAATATTAATCATATCGCATTTGTACGGAGTGCGTGTTCGATGTGAAATAATAATATGATTGCGGATACATGATGTATATTATAATAATATGTGTATTAAAGCTATGACCGACCTGTCGAGTAGACTTGTAGAGATATTAGCGCTTTGATCTGTCCATGCGGATTAGCGGCTAGTAACGTGTACGTCCCAGTATGCGTCAGTTTGGCGTGAGGAATTTTCAGCTGATAACGATTTCCATTGGATATGCACAAAAACTCAGAATTGTCACGATAATATTCCGGCTGTGAAAACAAAAAAAAAAAAAAAAAATGAAATCACACACACGATTAATAAAACATAAAATAAAAATCTTACAATGTAGATAATAATATGCACTAAAACAGAAAAAAAAAATGCTACTAAAGGTATTTAGTAAAACTAATGACAACGGTCCGATCAGACCTGAGGTCCACGCGTGACTGTGACCGTATGCTCGTTCGCACAACAACATGTATCGTACACCGTGTGCTACCATACTAGTATAATACTATGTTATTATTATGTTTGATCGTAACTGACTATTAATATTGAATATAGTCATTTTTATTTTTTTTTTTTTTTATTACTATTCATTATTACTTTTACTAACAAACATTGGATACGGGAACATACGAAATTTTTAATTTTTTCTTCGAAATATCTCTTAACAGTCAATTATAATATTATAATACTGTATTTTTAATTGACCGAATCTCATAGGTAATTATACCTAATTAATAGGTAATCTCGAACTTAAGCATGTAATGTGTATGCTAGATAATAATGTAGTAAGATATGAATTGAATACATTTATTTTTCATCTGCACAGACAACAAATAACAGATAAGATAATAATATACAACAGTATTCCGAGACAAAAATTCCAGACAGTACCTACATTATGTTCTATTACATTATTGCTTATTGACCATACCACGAAATACCAATATCAGCACAGATACTACGGTTACGAGTTAAGGAGTGCAAATATTTTATGAAAAGGAATTTTTTTTTAACATTCGTATTATCACACAATGTCTTTTTGACCATAAACACATCAATACTGAATGCATACATGATATTATGTACTTATGTATTTAAACGTATTATTGTTTTATCAATCTGAATAATTCGAATTTGAACGTTAAATTTATCTATGATGTTCAAATCATTTACAAAACAAATCATTTGAATCTCGCAACCAATTACTATATAACACAATAAACGAATTTGACGACGATCAGTTATTTGCGGCATTAATATAATTATTTCATATTGGTCACATCACTGAATAATTTCTTTATTATCATTGTTACCTATACATTATAGTTTATAAATACATATCTATATAAATAATTATGCAAGTTAACCGGTGGATTTATCAATGTATTACTAAATATATAAATCGTTAACAGTATACTATATTTTAAATAATAAAATAAAAATATAAAATGTTTAAATCACGAGCTAGCTAATGTCCTTATTTATTATAATTTTATTTGATAGAATTTCAATAATATATTCATGCGATGACAACCAACAGGTAACTGTGGACGCACGGTAGCTATACCTACTTACAAAATAGTAGAATACAAAAAACACAATATCGAACACTATTATATAGGAAAACCGCAACTCGATATATCAAACAATATGTAATTTTAATGATGATATAATAATAATACAGAAATATTCTCGACAACGGTTACGAAAAACGAGTGGGCCGTATGTCGTGTACTCGTGTGCGTTTTATCGAAGAAGAGGACGTCTTGTCCACCAATATGGACATGATATTGTGTACGATGATAATAATATACAAACAATAATGTCGCGCGCGCACACACACAATACCGTCACACTTTAAATATTATCTATTGACTTTGCGATTGTCCTTATTGTTCACGCGACGACGCAATAATAATATTAGTATTATAAATGTGAAATAATACTAATAAGTGTAATTATATAATATTCTACGATATAATTATTATACTGTTACACGTGAAACGAGAAAAAAAAATGTTCTTCCCACAGCTGATAACCTACCCACTGCAATATTATTATTTTAAAAACGTTTTTCCTCCATTTTTCAGTATTTCAACTCGTCATCGTAAACGTAGTTATATAGAAAAAATATCACATTTGACTATATGAGTCAGGTGTCTTGCAGTTAATTGTCGAGAAAGAGAGCGAGCGAGTGAGAGAGAAATAATCCATCCTAACGGTACACGACCGAAGCGATAAGAACTGGAATAAAACGTGTGCGTGTGTTGGAAACGCGCTCGAAGAACAGTAATCGAAAATTCCTCAAAGAAATTTGTTCGAAAACGCTTATATGCCTAACGACCAGACTGGAGTAATCGTTATTATTATTATTATTATTATTATTATGATTATTGCTGTTGCGCGCGACGGCGACGTCGGTCGGTCACGGGATGGAACGGATTTGAATATTATTTATCATACAATAGCCGTATGGCGATATTAGGTATAATATGTTTTTTTATTATTACCGTAACGGCGTAAGTAGTTACATATTATTATAATACGTAAGATACGTTCGTACTTCGTATGAGCAGCGAAATATAAATACATATGAACGACGCGTGTGAAATTGGCAAACAATATTTGGACAGAACGCGTATGGTTCTGAGCACCACTTGCGCTTAGCCGTTCGCACCGATTTGTTCTTTATATGGAGTGAAAGCCGCCTCATCCAAGGCAGACATACAACATTATCCTGGCAAACAGCAGTATGATCGAAACACCGCCGTAGTGGAGAAACGTTATTTTACACATGTGGTTTTTTTTTTTTTTTTTTTTTTCTAGTTAGTTAGTTATTACTATTTTTAATATTATTATCATCATAGTTGTCGTTGGTGTTGTTGTTGTGTTATCAAAAATAAGGACCTTTTTATTTAGTAGTAGATCGTGGTGGCGCTTCGACGCCAGTCATCACAATAGTTATTATTGCCTATATATTGGCAACAGTGCGCCAAATTACTACTGCTGCAAGGACTCAGTAGACTCGTGTTCGGCGATGACATTATTTTAAGGTACTAGTGTCGTCGAATTCTGAAGGTGTCAATGTTATAATAGAAATGCAACGATAGACTGACAACTGCAGACACGGCGCGTCGTATATTATTATTATTATTATTATTATTATTATATTATTACATGACGTACGGTTGCATCAACACGACATGCGATAATACCCATAATACGACCACCCGTAAGGATTAAGAGTGTGGCGTCACGTTTGTCTTATTACTACTTTTTTTCGTGTTTAATAATATATTATAACTAAAATAACTCAGTTCCATTCGATAATCGTGTTTCTGATGGTACGGACTCATAATAATATTATGAATCATCACATAATATGCGCATCAGTGAGAGTGGTAATTTTACTCCGTACGGCTTTCAAACCACGATCGTCCACATCATGGGTCTTATAGATAAAAATAAAAAACCCAAAAACGGCTGTAATTATATTGGAATACAAGTATTAAAAACGCTGCGTACCATTTGTACGATGTTTTGTATAACATGTGAATGTAACTTAGTATATTATTATAGACACGTAAATATGTTTAACGGAAAAAAAAAAAAATTGGAACAACTGCTAATATGCTTTAATAAAATATCTAATTATATGGTAAATATTAACAGATTATATTATATACTGCTGTAAAAGCATATTACACTTAATCATGCGTTATTTCTGTTGATAATATTATAGGATGTTATCTTTGAACCATTAACAATTTATTAATAAGTCGTAAATTAAGTAACTGTTAAAGTGAATTAATTCTATGTAAAAATTAATCTAAAAATTATACCACTTAATTTAATATTATTATAAGCATCTGGTATTTAAAATGTATTATACATTTATACCTAGTTGTATTACAGCTTTTAGAAATATCTTTAAAAATTATTCTATTTTTGCTACAGATATATTTATACTTTTATATTATACTTTACGTATAATAAAACTAAGAAATCTTTGATACATTTCAGCCACTATAATCCCGTTTTCGCCTCTGATTAAAACATTTCTAATGAAATAAATAAATCTAAATGCACAGTATAACTTGCAAAGCAGATATATTTTTTCGTAGAAAATTACACGCTTTGTGCACTCCAATAAATGGTAACTGATATAATTTATCAAGGAAGCGAATAACAGGGAATCATTCCTATATTTTAAGTACTTTTATTACGTTTTTTACGTAAACAAAATCATAGTATACTGTTGATTGTTGGTCGACCGACTATAAATACGAAACGAATAAAATCGTATTTATATGACACCCGAGCATAATATTATGGGAAGTTGTCCACATGCTAAAATAACGAACGTAATAAATACGTCTGTGAGTATAACATAAACTGTGAGCGCCTTGTGAGTATTACAGCGTGAAGATTGGTAGGTAAAGACCAAACTCAATACCATATTGTTATGATATGGATTTAGAGGTGGTGTCTCGAAAAATGTTACAAACTTTAAACCATAATAGTTAATTGTTTACATACTATTTTTCATTATCTAATCCAACAATCCAAGTTGAACACTGGATAGTGGATATTATAAATGTTTATAATGGACGTCAATACGACATCCAATAGAGACATACTGAACTTATTTGCAGTAAGTTATTGATTTTCTCGTAGATATTGTAAGCCACTAGTCAGTGTTATTGTGTATTATTAATAAGATAATGTGATACACACATGAATCTATCATGAATGTATTTTCTTGACCACTCGAGTTACCTTTAATATTGTAAACTTGACCTTCCAACAATAATATTTAATGATTAGGTCGGTAGTGAATTCGGCCCCGATAAAATAAGTTATAATTGTCACCTATCATGACATCTGCATATAACAAAAAATGAATCTTATCTTGCACTATATCGAAAGTGTTAAGTGTTTGTAATGCACGATTAAAAAGTACAACAATTAATTTCAAATTATAAACATTGAATTATTCTGTTTTGAAATAAATAATTTTAAAATTACGCCCTTAGCTAATATTTGGGAATAAATTAAAACAAATTTTATGCAGATATCACATTATTCATTTTTAACACTGTCTAGAATTAAAAGAAAAAACAAAATAGTTTTATATTATGTAACAATATTATAACTTATAGATATCAAAAAGAGTAAACTTTTATCAAGAAAAGTATTTTTAGTACGAATAAAATTTGTAGCGATCTATATCACATAAAAACAAAAAATTTTCAATTCT